CTCTTCCGCATTTGTCGACCATTTTACCAATGTCTCTAATTTTGAAGTTAAAGCAAATCGTCGATGGATTCTGTTTTGTGGGTGTCGTCGTAAACTGTGTGGTAAATATAGGTTGCCTCACGGGAGGTCGCATGTTCCTCCGATGTTTGCGCGATGACGTCTCAGACGTTAGGAAGTGGTAGACAATTGTCATAATTACATGTTCAAGTTGCAGAGTGCTGGTGCCTCAGTAGTCTAAAAGTTATGAGAACGAGTAAAGAACGTAAGAGGACGGAGAAATCAAATCATAAACTAGATGAAAGGGTTAAAATTTGACGAATGCTAAGTTCTAAGCATTGTAATTCTTAAAGCTCGGCTGTTTTGCTCGCCATATCAAGCAGATGGAGCATAGAATTAAAATCAATTTGCAGAAATTTCCTCCTAGACATAATCTACAGATTTTTCCTTCATTCTATTCCTCAATCATCCACCAACATTCACACTTATTACGTCATATGACTTTTCCATACCCTGACAAATAGTTTCCTGTCATATTTCCTATCACAGGTGGCACTTTCATTATGACGAAGGTCACCGTATACCTCTAATATTCGTTGGCAACTGTTTGAGTGCTCGTAAAGATAACAGTCCAATTTCCCAGTTGCGCCGGCGCATTATTATTCACATGTGACGCACGCATGCGCGCCAGATGCTAGTTATTATAAGTAAACAGTTTTCTGACCATTAAGAAAAGCCGTTTAGTGCACGGCAATGTGCGTGTATAGGTTCCGCACACAGTATGGTCTTGATGAGATCATGTTGGAAACGTTCCCATAGTGACCAACAGACCTGCATTCTGTGATTATTTCTGTGTTATGGGTAATCTCTAGGCTAGCGTCCACATGTCGGTATCGTACGCATCGGACGTATCGCACGCAACGGATCGTAGTATTATTTATATAGAAACTCATATAAGTGCGTCCACCTGTCCGCATCGTACGTATCGCACATCCGATACGATATGTTTTGTACGATGCATCTGATGCGTACGATACCGACAAGTGGACGCTTAGATACAGGGTTCATTTTGGGTATAACAGGAGAAATACTTGTTTTTGATCCCCTTTATAGGCAGTAACATAACATTTTTTAAATACTTGACCACCATAGTCTGAATATTATGTTGCAACAAAACCACTTTCTGTCCCATACACCTGCGGGTGTCTGAAACCAGTATTTAATTTGTAAAATTTATGAAGTGAATTAATTTCATACAAAATATGTTAAGCACATATTTGAGTAGACGGAGCGTGAGACATGTAAATACGTTGCTAAATGTTGTGTGCGCAGCTGCGGCCAACGACAAAAACTTACAAGAGGTTCTTCTTAATGATCCATTCCGAATTCGTATTGCTCCAGTACTTGAAGCTTTTAGACAAACATTCATTTTTGGTGCAGTTTATCTAATTCTTATTTTTGCTTATTTTATCTACTGATGCGTATAGAAACCTTGAGATCCTAAATATAGCAATGTCGTGGGATGTTCATCTTCTACATTCATTATTTTCTAATATTTTATGTTCGTTTAGTGCAGGTGTATTCGGCATTACACCACATTACATTGTAGGTTTATTAACTTCTATGTTTCGATCTTGTGCGAATACACCGCTATAAATATACTTGGCTTATTGCAAAAGAAAATTTAATGTTAATACCACATTGTATTTGCTTTGCATTTATTTATTTAGGTACGTAATTTTAATAAATGTCTGAAAATGTGGCTCTTGTACTATTATAATTGCTTGTTCTTGGGCACTAATTTTAATGTCTATTAACTATTGTGATTATGTAAATACATACTCATTATAATACATACTATGATTGTGATCAAACATAAAATAGTTACCTACCTAAAGAAAATATCCTCTGACAGTTTGAATAGTTACCTATATTAACTATCCAACCAAAAATACATACCAATTTTTTTGTTTTGCATTTTAATTATTGTTATTGACATTATTGTATTCCTACTTGTATGATTAACACATTCCACAAGCAACACACATTATTGATAATGAAAAATTTCACAGTAGGTACTTCGCTTGGAAAGGAATTATGAACGGCATTAATGGTTGAATAATTCAGTAGGTAGTGATGATAAGTAAACAATTTACTCGTTGCCAATGCATGAATACATTTATCATGAAATGTAACTGTATCATAACACGCGTAGTGTACGGCCGCATAATCACACGAATATAGGCTCAAACGAAACAGTTTGTCACGATCATCATCATCATCATTTCAGCTATAGGACGGCCAATGTTGAACATAGGCCTCCCCCAATGATTTCCATATTGACCAGTTGGTAGCGGACTGCATCCAGCGCCTCCTGTTACCTTTATGAGGTAACCCCAATAGATACTGAAATTGAATAGAAATAGGTAGGCAACCATATGACTCCGTCTGGGAATGTAACTACGAGTACAATAACATTTTCTCCCATGTGTAGATTCTATCTTCCATAGCAATATTGTGTTCAATCATAAGAATAAGTAAACCATCCGGTTAGACAGCAGTAGATAAAGTCTAAATTAGGTACCTACTTATTTTTTTCATTATTTAGGCATCTACATATTTTAATGCGTATCGATCGATACATAATCATTTGATATTGATTGCACTATCACTAGTGACAAGGCTGCCCTATTTACAGATCTCACAATGCCACAGACATGTCATGTCTCACGATTGTTTTTATACGTGTAATGGTCGTGAATGGTCGTGCAAATATTGTCATTGATAGCGTACCTACACGTAGCAAGAAAAATAATTCGGAAGTTTGCAGTAGCTCAAATGTTTTGGCACCACCTCGAACAGTATGTGAAAGGACCACGAGCAGTGACACACAGCGGATACCTTCTAAGGTGACATTCAATCGATACCTCATTGACAACGTGTCGATTGCAATCTGCAGCTAATGTCATTGCTACAATGAGAAATGCAGTGTCATTGTGTTGTCCCGCCCCGCAGTGATAGAATTTTAGAAGAGCGCAACAAAATAGGTTACCTACTATAATGATGAATAAAATGCACCTCTTGACGACCAAAGATAGGAATGATTTTTCATGTAAGTAGGTATTGGATTTATCTATACTTGTCAAAAAAACCAAGTCTCGCAACTCAGTTGTTCTACGGTAAAAAGTTGTGAGATCCATGTAATACCAAGTCCAGGCCAGGAAATCTTTAACGTTTTACATAAATATATTGACTTGGCCATCGCACTAAATAATTTAATTTACACGTGTTTTCATGGCTAATGAAAATTCAGCCTTCTAGTTTTATCCACAACGAAGTTACAGGCGGTCGAAAATGGCCTGAATTGCTTCGAGAAAAAGATGGTACGGCCGTGCCGCTTTTTTGCTCGACTTGGTGGAGGCACTGCCGTGCCCCCAGATCACTTTTCCAGGTCAGGTTAAACGGAAGACTGTGTGTACTCCACTCCAATACTTAATCAAGACCGTTTTGCAAAGTAGATTCCTGGTCGCACGATCAATTGACGAATGGCCCCCTCCTCAGATCATATTTCTATGATCTGAGGCCCCCTCCGACGCAATCCAACTTCCGCCACAACACCCATCAGCTGATCAAACGCAAAGCTTGCTTTCTGAATCCAATCTTGCGACTCAGACATACAGGCCGTAATCGATTGTTCCCGACGTATGAGCCAATATCAGCTGATTCATTATGTGCCCGATAAAATTCGACCTTAACACAATGAGATAAGACGAAGGTCAATGCTTTATGCCAGTTTTCTCCGTTACCGATTTATTTACGTTTCTTTGAGGTAATAAAAATAAGTTTTTAGAGTTTTTGCTCTTTTAACCTATTAATAATAACTATTGAACGAATTTTTGATGTCCTATCTAATAAAATACCTAGCCCGTAATTGTATGAATTTCAATCATTGGATTAAAATTCCAATGCAGATTAATGTTTTATTTATGTATATATATTATANTAATTAGTTTTTAGAACAACAAATAAACTCGTAACATGATAAGGTGTAAGTAACTAATTTACTCATTACATTTTTAGGGTAGATTTGGATTAAGCTCTGTCCAGTAGTCGTCTTTGAACTCACAGCTGATTGTGGCTGATAGTTGACTGACTCATGGGCGAGCGCGGGTAGTGGGGCGCGGGACGGGGGGGTGCAGCGTTTGCCCGGGTCACCGGGTGAGCGCCGCGCGCCGTTTGCGTTGGGGGACTATTCTGCACTGTAGTGGTCGATTATGGAAATCGTAGATATTTAAAAAATAATAATAAACAATTTGGAAGTCAGTTTTTTTGCTGATTCGTGATCAGAATAAGCTACTTAATCTACTCCCTAAATATGGCGGGTATTGAAATCAACACCCTGTATATTATAATTCAAGCCTATACTTTCACAATTTCAAAATGTATGCCGTTGTACTTTGCTGTGGCCCCCGCTCCGAGCTGTCGAAGGCTTAGCCGGCGGACGAGTGCACTCGCTGCACAAAAAGACGACTGAAAAGGCCGAGTGACGGGATCAGGGGTCCAATGCGATGCGTCGGCCCTGCCTATTTACACAGTCTGTACTTAACCCTTACGCTGCAAAAAGGTAATGAACCAATGCATTTGATGTATGTAACTTACAATTTACAGATTTTTCTAAATTTCTTTTTGTTTTACATTATGATTGTTGCGGGTCACCTTGGAAATACAATAGAGTTATAATAAGCTGGTGAACAGAAATTTGAATCTATTTGTTTGAACTTGTTTTGTTTAATCAATATTATTAGATCATGTTTGTACAAATCACATTCATATCGAAAAAACACTATAAAAATGATAAATAAAACTGAATAGTCATACTTGTAAAAATATATTTAGAAAGATTACGAGATCGAGACTTACATTGTATTTTAAAACACAAAATGTATTTACATACAAAATTATTATTACCAACGTCTTATTAAATATATTTTTTCATACTTATGTACACAATTTATAAAAGTTGACTAGTTCCTTTCCAATTCCACATCAAAGAGCATCAAGTTGATACAATTCCCACAAATGGAGCGTGCGATGTGCATCACCTTCCGGGAATAATCTTATTTCTGCTAGGTGCTCTTCAGCTTGTCAATCAACATCAATACTTCTATTTTGAAGCGGCGCACCTGCTCCTCTGTCATGCTGTCGATGTCAGGCATCAAGCTCATGAAAAAATGCTGGATGTGGCTGTACGTCGGCTGAGGTAGACTGCTTTCAGTGGTCGTTTTTTTCGTTTCGTCTTTTTGTTTTTTGTACGTCAGATAATCCCGAAAGCAATTTTCTAAATCTGTTTTTTTAACCCGTTTCCGTTTCTTCCGCCGGCTAGTTTCGACTTCGATAACTGTCGGAGCTGTCGGAGTTTCTGCTGCAGTTTCAGCGGTCGGGGACGAGTGGCTCTTCGCTGGCGGGACCACCGTGGTCCCCGCCGCAACGAATATGGGCACGTCTTGGAGCCCGAAGTGGCTCTCGTCCGCGATGACGTCGTTGACGTCCAGCTCGATGATGTTCCGGCTCTCGGCGGAGTCGGCGCTGCTGCTGTAGAGCGTGCCGACGACGGACTGGTGGTGGGGCTTTATGTACGGCATAACAAATTTCAGCTCTTCCCTCAAATAGTAAGGCCGTTTCGATTTACCTCCAGTCGTTTTCAAACTTCTTAGAAATGCACTTCTGATGTTTCTCCATTTCTCTTTGCAATCGTTTACTGAAAAAAAATAATAAATCTTTTTATTTAAATGTATTAGAGGTTAATCATCCTTACTTAATGCTTTTTCAGATACTTATCGTTAATCAAAAGTAAATTCATGTTTGTATTGCTCGTATAGGTATATAATTATTTATTACCTGCACAGCACTGCACGATATAAAATAAATTATGTATTGTTAAATCGATCTAAGCGTGCGGTGTCGAGGCTGCGATGCAAATATTACGATCCAAATAATAATACCAAACTAAGCATTAACTTTTTTGTATCATATTAATACGTATAAATTGAAACTAGTTACAGAAATAAACTAAGAGGAAAATCATTACGGTTTAACCCTTAAACAGGCATGACGTGGTATATTTCCGTAATGTTTTTGTACCTTAAGAGAAGGCAATAAGGTTCTAAATATGGCATTAACGCCCCCATCAACAGATAAAGTAATGTAAGCTATGTCCAATCAAATCTAAATCTCTTCCCAAAGGATTAACATTTCCTGCAGCCTGTGAAATAAATGTATGTACATAGTTACTTCGTTGAACTTACTAGAGACGCCAATTTTTTTGGATATTTCGCCCCACGCCTTTTCGGTCATGTCCTTTTTAGAATATTCGGGCATGTTGAAGTTGTATAAATACTCATACTTTTGTATTTCCACTATCAAACTGAGGTTGTTGTCGAGGGTTCCTTCGTCGCGTTGAGTCATTGTGTCACTCGACTGCTGCAGACTGCTGGAGTAGCGACCGCGAAGCACAAATGTCGAGGACACGTTGTACCGCAGTCGCAGCGCGACGCACACTGGCGGCGGGGAGGCGGGCGGGTATCGATCGTCTGTCGAGCCCCTGCTGCGGCACGAGTCGCCGACACGCGTGGGCTCCTAATCACGAAGCGTCCTCAATCCCATAGGAACCCGTCGACATAGACTCGACGCGCTGTCGGCATTCTGAACGCATATTCTCGTCTGCCGTCTGATTACCACTGACACGTTCCGGATTCGATTCCCTGTTACACAAAGTTGTAAACTGATTGGAAGTTCTAAAGTTGTTTAGTCTTTGCTTGAATCAACCTGATTATCTCTGAAAGATGATTCCATGCTTCGGAGGGCACGTCAAGTCGTCGGTCGCGGTCGCTGCCTCAGGTTACCTGCGTATTATGTTATTCTTTGCTCTGGTAGTGGTGGAAACATAAGCCTGCTGGACCATGTGAGACGTTTGGGTATCATATACCTATCAAATTTTTGTATCAACCAATTTAATAGCGGGCTGAAACTAATGAGGGTGCTTCTTGTACGCATCCTACAAACTCCATGTCACAAGCAAGGTATTATGGTCATTTATCATGCTCTTGCATTAATTCATTTAAAAGCCATAATTATCATCTTATATGGCAAGAGTGTGCAATGTGGTTCTATCAGCTTTACAAAAAAGTCAACTCACAATTTTTTTACCAACTGGAATTCAAGCGTCATCACCAGCCAACATTTATCAGTATAAGATTCTAGGAACGATAGCTGGCAGTCATGAAATCAAATCTTTCGACAAAATCTGTCCACCTCACTCCAACCAGTATGTAATCCGATGCTATCGGCTGGGGAAAACAAAGCAAAGAGTGTCGTGTCGTGAGTCGTGAGGCGAACATTCGGCGGGCCGCCCCGCGCGCCGTGTCGCGTCGCGCTTCAGTCGAACTAACGGCATTCGATGGATGGAAGCATGTTTCGAAAACACAGGGCGATATCTTCTCTGAAAAAAGTAGACGGTTAGACTTAAAATCTAAATATATAAAAGGAGAAACTGACTGACTGACTGACAGATCAACGCACAGCCTAAACGGCTAAACGTAGGCACTTGAAATTTGGAAGGGACTTAGCTTAGGTACCGTAGAGGTGCACTAAGAAAGGAATTCTCGAAATTCCCACGGGAACGGGAATTAACGGGAAAAACGAGATTCACGCGTACGAAGTCGCGGGCGGCCGCTAGTTTGTTATAAGAAGTTTGCATAAGTTGTCAAACACATTGGCATATAAGTTGTACTTAATTTTTGATAGGTACTTACCTTACTATTCAATTTTGCTGAGGCATCGACATGGTTAACAAACAAGCCGTTCTTTCACAATATCTGTCACGTGATTCAGCATGTTTTCGATAGTCCAAGTATCATTTAATTTTGACATCTTATTTTTGTAAGATGTAGTTTTTAATTTTGAAATTTTGAAGTAAATAACTTCGTAAGTAGTTAGGTAAAAGTCAAAAGAATTGTTTATGTTCTGCAAATACACTCGGCATCAAATAAATCGCACCTCCTGCGACAAGCACTTATCAAACGTATGCATCCCCACTTCCCACCAACATTGGTGCCATTTGAAAGCCTAGTTCTAAACTTCATTTCATTAAAGGAAAGGTTTTTACCCCAAAAATGTGTCTTTACAAGGATCCAGAGTCACTTCTTCAAAAAATAGGTAGTTACGCTATAGCCATTTATTATGACTATAAAACTGTTAAGTTACGATTAANAGTATGTACGACGTTACGTCATGTTAATAGGTACTACGCGCTGGGAGAAACAAAATCTAGCCACATAAGTAGGTTAATAAGTGTATTTTCATTAGTGTAATAGCGGGGGACTTTTCCAACGAACCGAGGCGAATCATCCGCGTTAAACTAGAAATTTAAAAAAAGATAGAAATTGAAATTCAATATCTACGCTTTCGTAATGCCTGCGCAATTTATTTAGAGACGTAATAAAAAATTGATAGGTACATACCTATTACTACTTCGCTTCGCTTCAGTGGAAATGCACCCTAATATTGAATATGAATAGGTGTTGTAAATAAAACTCACTGATCAATTTTCCTGGTTTTAATTCCTAAATTATGATTTGTCATCACACTTTAGATTAGATTCATTGATTTTACTTATTGACACATTTACCTATTTTGGATGTTGTTATTTAAAGTTCCTAGGTTATTATTACACTAATCACAATACATTTTGAACGTCAAGCCTTTGTTGAATGTTCACGTAAACACTGTCTTGCACTGTCTAATCTAGCTACGATCGAATTGAGGTAATGCTTCCAGCCGGGCTGCACACTTGCTTGCTGTTCACTAGACACCACGTCGGATGTTGTATTCACAATTCGCGCACTAACTTTTTTACGGAAAAAGTCCCTTTCGCGTAAACAAGCACTCATCTGTCCAAATCACACTGTAGACTGGGTAGACTTCCGCAATATCCATCGATAGAACTCGGTCGCGGACGTGGCCCTCTGGCAACAACTCCTTGATAAGGCATTCCATATTTTTACGCAAAAGCCGCCGTCTGCGGCGCTCGCATCTGGGTACCGCCAGCACTGTGCCGGTGATTGAAATTGAAATCCAGAACTTCGTCCTCGAAGCGCACGGGATCTCGTCAAGTCAGGATACGGCTGCGCTCCCTTAAGCGCTGCGCGGCTCCAAACAAGCAAGGTGTGAAGGTTTTCGACTCGTCAATGTTTCTCGTCGGCCAGTTAGTGTGCCCGAAACATAATTTCACCTGCGTTTTGTTATTTATCAAGCGCGGCATTGTAATAACTCGCACATACAATACGTTTGGGCACATTAGACGGACTGGGATGATTATTTATGTTCTTGCGCTCCCGCATGCCGATCGGCGGCTCGGCGCGGGCTGTGGGCGCGGAGCGACTGGCAGCGATATCAATATGGCCGACTCACGTGGCGCGTCACGTGGCAGCGGTCGTTGCCCTCGGCCGGCTACTACGATAGTGCGTAAACGAATACTCACCGCGCTCAAAGGATGATTTATTTTTTATTTTTTTCGAAACATTCTTTGTCGTTTTACTCGAAAACTAGCCTGAATTTTTTTTTAAAACACTTGGGTTGTATTTGTATGATTTTATTAGATGCGTTGGTAAAGTATGATCAGTATAAAAAATAACACCTTATATAATTCACATCTTTTCGTTCATAGCTTCTTTACTACTTATCAGAATAAGACCACTGCAGTACCATTAGAAGGGCCTTGAATTCTGTTGGTTCNTTGATGTTGAGTGTATATGTTATGTGCTTTTAATAACACCATACTTATTTATTTGCACCAAACAATTACAAGTTTTCAAGTCGCAGTCGCCGACGCCGCAGCGTCTTCGAGCATGATATTGTTCCGTATGTTCCGCAACTCGCGCAAGAAGCGGAGCGGAATGGCGGCGCGGCGGGCGGCGGGCGGCGCGGCGCGCGGGGCGGCCCGCGGGTGGGGCGCGCCCGGCGCTAGTGTCGTTGCCGCGGGGACTCGGGCGAACGTGTGAGCGCGGAGCGGAGCGAATCGCGTCATTTGGAATTTATAATCGGAGTCGTTTGTTTTAAAAAGTGAAATTTTAATCTTCCGTTGTACATGACTCATGACATCATAGCGGGGACGTTGATGTTCGCTGCCGACGCAATGAAGAAGGACACCGAGCGGCTTATAGCCGAGGTGGGCGCGCGGCCCGCCATCTGGCAGCAGAAGCACCCGCAGTACAAGCTCAAGCACATCGTCAAGAAAAGTTGGGACGAGATACACGCGTTGTTCCCGAATTATGGTTGTAAGTTGTTAATAAGGATTTAATATTCCAACAAAATGAGTAGAAGAGCACATAAATACTGCAAATAATTTTGCATGCTACATAGATTACGGTATTCGAACCCGAGTCCAATCATCTTGGCATGTCGCTCAGAACGCAGATAACCACCGGTGACCGGTGTGTGCGAGGCGTCTAGCGCATACTTATTGTGCGCGGCGTTGCATGCACACAATGACATAATATTCAATTTACTTTTTTGTTGTGTGGTGGTGCTGTAGGTAGGCGGGATGTCATCTGTCATGTTACATACAGAATAAAGCTTATTTAAACAATAAGAATAGCAGGAAATAATATACAGCGCGTTGCCGGCGTTGAATGTGTTAATGTTCGCGTAATAAGGAGGATAATGATTTATTTAAGTGGGTAAATCGGTATTTTTGTTAAAATTTATAGGTAAGTAGTTACTATAGTAGGTATGATTGTGTAATTAATTTGATTCAATATTTTGTTATAAATACTTGGTACTGGTAGTGTGATTTAGTAATTTAAATGGATAAAATTTAGATGATATTGTAGTGGCATGATAAATCTCTTGGCTCCTAATTACTACTTCTATTTTCGGTCGAGATACCCCATATTTAATAAATACTGTTTTAATAATATAGCCCTGAAGAACATAGATAGGTACTAATTTATCAATCAAATGTTGTTTAAATTAATAGCAGGTCAGAGATCCATTATTGCAGCAATAACTTTAGTATAATGATCGCACCTGACCTTTACGCGGCATGGGTCAGTAATATAATAGCCCATAATTTGCTTAATGCGTCACATAAGCAGTCAACAATGTTGCTAATATGACTGACTAATAACCTACTTAAGTTTTTATTAGGTATATTGGTCGTTGTCTAGTAACAATTTCTCCAAGCGACTAAGATAAGGGTATCTTAGTCGCTTGGAGAAATTGTTACTAGACAACTAGGGATTACTAGGGAGTAATACTTCAAAAATATCACTCATTATTTTCTCCGTTAAGATGCTTTTTTACTTTCAGTGGTCGAGCTGAAGAAGAAATGGAAGAACCTCAAGGACGCGTATCGGAAAGAATTGAAGAAGAACCCGCAAATGCACACGAGTGACCCTAACTATACCTACAAGTCCCTGTGGAAGTACTTCCAAGATCTGGACTTTCTGAAGGACGAGTGCAAGGACCTGATCGAGGACGACGAGGAGCCGGCCACCGCCAGCGACAACGAGAGCCACGACAACTTCGTTGACAACCTCCCTTTGGCCACTCTGACCTCCCCTCCGGATTCTCCCCTCCACCAAGGGGACAGGTCATTCAAACGCCAACTCGAATTAAGCTCAGATTACCAAGAATTCGAAAGAAAGAGACGCAAAACCATGGAGAGAAGACGCAGCAGTGAGAGGAATTCCGATAATTACCACTTTCTGATGAGCATTCTCCCCGAAATGGATAGGTTACATTCCATACAGAAGATTCGGTTGAGAAATAAGATCAATCAAGCTTTGTTGGAAGAGATAACGCTGGCGATGTATGGGGACCCTATGAGCTGCGATCTGACTCATACGAAAAATGAACAGGAATAGTTTTAATAGTAGATCTAAGAGATTAGATAGGTTGACTACGTGACGCTATCAAGTGATTGATACTAATGAAGATGGATAATTTAATTGAAATTTTAATGTATGATCTATAAGTACTTAATTAGCAAATATTTTCCATTTGATAGAGTACCTACAGCTATGTATAAACGACAAGTAGGCTAAAATACAAATATTCAGTATTTTTAATTAAACACAATTTAAGTACATGTCCCAATATTTTATTGCAAATCCGATATTCATCTGAAAATTAAATTACGAATAGAATATTTTGACTTTCAGTAAAGAAGAAGCATACGCGGGTACTTGTATGAATTAACTTCGATAAACTATTAGACAGACGTTTGACTTGCTAACTCCTGGGTTCGATTCCCAAATGTGATAGTATAGACACAAATTCATCAAAAATTAAGAATTTTAAGATTATGGTGATTTATTTAATTTTAAGCTTCAGGTGGCTTCAGTTAATCTGACTACTAAGCCTTACGAATGGTGATAATAATTTCAATTAGGTATGGGCATAAAGTATATCAAATAATAATGATGAATCACATCATTGCCACAAAATTATATTTTGTGTGATTGCGTCATCGCATTAACACAAATCGTGAGCCAAAATTGAAGTGGCAAAACATAAACTAAATGCGTTCGCAAAAATTGCTGGTGGAAACTGCACTTGCATTTTATTGCAACAGAAATTGCAAAAACAATAATGCTTAGTTGTTTCATGTCGAGCCGGATTTCAGCTGAGTTTCCCAAAGTTGAACTGCAGTTTTGAGTTGGTTTTGCCCGGATTTTTTGCTCGTCTCTTTGTTTTACGAAGCTATATCGAAATACTGGCGGGAATTCTGAGCTTTGTTAAAGGTGTAGCAAATACTCACACATACGTAGTGTTAAGTTGGTTAGTTTCATCTTTACATGCTAACACTAATAATAAATTATGATATAGGTTACTATAACGAAAATAATATCGAAAAGTTAATTAATTTGGTTAACAGTAACTCGTACCTTTCTAATCGCGCGATTAATGGTTAGTTCCATTTAACAATGCATACTTTGTATGAAAATATGTTGAGAATTTGAAATATGGTACCTAGACCTACTCTTTTTTCAGGCACTGTACAAAAGATCCCTACTTTAATTGACATAATATTGTGTAAGCAACTCGTAGATATTTTATGAAGCTTACAAGTAATAAGAACATTATTTCTCATGAACTGAGTTAACTAACTAAACAGCTTACAATATCGCAAGTGTCAGACCTCCCATGTGCATAATTTAACATCGTTATGCGATGTTCAATTCTTAGTAGTATAAAGACTGAATTTACTTATTAACCACATTTATTAGCAAACTTGAACATTAAAACATTTAGCATTGTTAGACGCGCGAAAATACCGAAAGTCAAGTGACAGATCGTAGTGAAGTGCACGAGTCATCGATTGAATAGTGATGGAATGCGTAGATTCGATTTAACCCGCTAACAACTCGGCCATCCTGCAACATCTTCGGTCCTCCGAAGATGACCTTTGGAGCAGCAGCGTCTGCAGGCTCCACCACCACCACGTCGCAGCGGTCCTAGTACATCACGCCTTGTCACCACGATGTCCAAGGAAGATGTCATCCCCTCTCAAGGAAGAGAGTGGCCTGATAGTGGCAAGGCCCCGAAGGCAACCACTGAGTTAGTGCTGGCAGGCCCCTAAGGCAAGCACGGAACTAATGCTGTTAGGCCCCTAAGGCAAGCACTAGACCAAGACTGTTAGGCCCCAAAGGCAATCATTGAACAGATGCTATTAGGCTCCGAAAGCAAGCACTGAACCAATCCTGTTAGGCCCCTAAGGCAAACACTGAACCAATGCTGTTAGGCCCCTAAGGCAAACACTGAACCAATGCTGTTAGGCTCCGAAAGCAAGCATTATTGACTAGCACCATAAGGTCCCGATAGACAAGGCAATGTAAGAGAACACGCTATGAAGATAGTATGGTGTGAGGCTCCGAGAGCAAATTAAGGCAAAACACTGTGTAGGCCCCGAAAGCAAGTGTCAGCCACTACACCCAAGGTGAATTAAGGCTCCGAAAGCAGGTATTACTCGCTGTGTAGGCCCCGAAGGCAAGGAGTTAATAATTCACAGAATAGTGATATAAGGCTTCGAAAGCAAGTACAGTGTATACGCTGTAGAGGCCCCGTAGGCAAGCGTAGAAAAACAGATAATCTAAAATTAATTGTGTAATCAATCTTCGCCAGATGAGGAACTTTTATATCTGTGACACCACACTTTAATCTTGTCACGTGCAACAATATTTTTGTAAGCTCGCTTTCCCTTCGTGGACGACGTCACCTCAAAGCGATCGTTCGGCAACACGGCAGTCACTTTATACGGTCCCGCATACCTGGGAACTAATTTTCCACTGGACAGTCCAGGTCGTAAAATTTTCCTCTCAACCATGACTAATTGACCAACTGGAATAGGAGCACTGTCCCTCCGACTTTTGTCAAAGCGTCTTTTCATTTTAGATGCGTTCAACTCTATTTTCTGAGCAGCCTCATCTCGTAGTGCCTCTATATTTCCACTATAAGCAGCTCCTTGCAAATCATTAGCAAGTCGAGGTCTAAGACCACAGAGTAACTCTAAGGGTGACTTCCCAGTTCCGTGACTGACCGATGAATTAATGCCTAATTGTACCTTCGGAAGATATGCATCCCAGCCTTTTTGCTCCTCGCCCATATGAGCCGATAACGAATTGAGAATCGTCCGATTAAGGCGCTCCACCTGCCCATTCGCCCTTGGAGAGGCCACAGCATTTAATATGTGCTTAATGCCATTTTCGGCACAATAACGCTCAAACTCCTTACCGGTAAAAGCCGAACCCCGATCACTGATAATCCGGTCTGGGTGGCCGAAAATTTGACTCAATTTAGACATTGCTGTGATAGCTCCCTTAGAATTAGCACTGGCGACAGCATCCAACCAAACAAACTTAGTGAACCCGTCAATAATCGCTATAATATAAGTCTTCCCATTGCTCTTGCAAAATGGACCAAGGTGATCCACATGCAATGTGTGGAAAGGCACGGATACTCTAGGAATTGGGTGCAAAAGACCAGGCTGTTTACCTGTAGGCTTCTTTGTAAATTGACATCCAATACAACTTGCAACATACTTCTCAACACATTTGCGCATTTTCGGAAACCAATATTTGGTTTGTATAGCTTCCAAACATTTTTCTGCTCCCAAATGACCATTTTCGTCATGATACAACTTCAAAATATGGAATTTTGCACTTTTAGGTAAAACAGGTTTATAACAGTTAGAAGACACCAGACGACACAATTTGCCATCTACAACTTTATAATCTTTAGAAAGTCCACTGTTATTCTTCTTATTAGTCTCTTGTTCCGATGTTAGATTCTGAATCAATCCTTGAATTTGCTCATCTCCTTCCTGTAACGCGTCAATTAGATCCTTCTCTACAATATGCAGTACTGACACAGGGTTCCGGCTGAGAGCATCAACGTGTGTCATGGAACTTCCCGGACGATGATCGACCTCAAAATCGTACTCTTGCAAATCGAGCCACCAACGAGCAATACGTGGAGATAAATCTCTTTTCAGCCAGGCCATACGTAGTGCTGAACAATCCGTAACAACTCGGAATTTGATGCCAGACAGATACACCTTAAATCTTTGAATGGCAAATACCACTGCTAGAGCCTCCAATTCAAAGCTGTGATATTTCGCTTCAGTAACTGTTGTCTGTCTACTTGCATAGGCAACTACCTTAGTATCTCCACTAGGCTGCTTCTGAAGGAGAACTCCGCCAAGTCCAAGTTTAGATGCATCTGTGTGAACTTGCGTCTCTCGTTCTGGATGGTAAATTACAAGCACAGGATCTGAAGTAAGTTTTTGCTTAAGAGTTTGCATAGCCTGTTCTTGGTCCGGTCCCCATTGCCACTCTGCAGTCTTCTTCGTGAGTGAGGTAAGAGGTCGTGCAATAGTTGCAAAGCCCTGAATAAATTTGCGGAAATAGCTTGCAAGACCAAGGAACTGACGTAATTCATGAACATTCGATGGTACTTTTATCCTTGATACAGCTGTAATTTTATGAGTTGAGGGCCTAATTTCACCACCAGAGATTACATGACCTAGATATTCGACGCTTTCAGTAAGAAAAGAACATTTGCTCTTTCTCAATTTAACACCCGCCTTCTCAATCAAACTGAGTACCTTCTCCAGATTAGAAAGACATTCCCTAGTATTAATACCCCACAAAATCACGTCATCAATATACACCTCAGCGCAAGTGTGAATTACTGGCTCCAAAATTTCATTCATCGCACGTTGGAATACTGCAGGAGCATTGCAAAGACCGAAACTCATCATTTTATACTGGTAATGCCCATCAGGTGTGACGAATCCGGTAAGCGGTCTTGATTCCTCAGCAATCTTGATTTGATGGTACCCGTTTGCGAGGTCTAGGCAGCAGAATACAGATTTACCCACCAGTCGATCCAACAAATCCTGTATTACCGGCAAGGGATACCGTTCTTTCTCCGTGATTTTATTTAGTGCTCTATAGTCTACGCATAATCTACGTCCGCCATCCTTTTTATTAACTAAAAGAACTGGGCTTGCAAAAGGGGATGTGGACTTCTCAATAATATCTGAGTTTAGGAGGTCATCGACGATATTTTTCACTGTATCCCTATCATGAAACGACATTCTATACGGCTTGAAATTAATCACCTTATTCTCTGTCAGCTTAATGCTCATCTCTACACTACAGTTTCCAAGCTCCATTCCATTTCCAGAAAAACAATGATCATATTTGGCTAAAAGTTCATCTAAATCAGCTCTCTCGTTTTCATTTAAGTGTGCACCCACCTTTACATCATTTGCTGTTTCTGAATCTGGTCTTACTAATTCCGCTCGTGCTATGCAATCCGATTCCTTTAGTCTTATGATTGTATTTGTTCTATTCACCAGCTTAATAACAGCATAACCATCAGATGATTCAACACTGTCGACAAGAACATCTTTTTCGTTCAATGGTTTTCTTTGCTCGCTTTTCCTAATATTCATTAAACCACCAACGATAGGATCTAACCGTACCAAAACCTTATTCATACCAGGAGATAGTTTTGTGTCTGTCTGAGGATATAACCGAATCTTATCAAAACTGTCACATAACTC